AAATGTACTGTGAATCTGACAGATTGAAAATGGAAGCCCTGACTGACAGGGAGCATGGAATGTTAGGCACTGACAGTGGAGATGAAGCCCAGCCTGATGGAGGACAGCCTGCAGAGGAAGCCCTGGGTGAATCCACTCAAACCTCTGAACCTGAAACCTGCTCTCTTTCTTTGAGTCAGAATAGTGGGAGTGAACTGCCTGCCAGCCAGCCTCGGCCCTTTTCATCCCAAGGAGACACAGAAGAAGAAGACATAATAATAGAAGACTATGAGAGTGATGGGACATAACCAGCCTGTTAATCAGATTGCTACTTCACAGATTCATTTTAGTTTTATTCAGTAGTACTTGAACAGAGTTAATACACTTCTCTGAATTACAAACAATTTGTGAATTCTTCACTCTTGTGGTATTTCATCACAAGGAACTGACTCTTATCTTGAAGTAAATAGAAGATCAAGCCTTCAAGTAATCTAATTTTTTTCTATAGTATTTATTTATCTTGTGAGTGGTTTAAGGAGAGGAGATCAGTGTATGAAGTGTGTTTGAACAGTATACCAAATAACAGAAAATGTGAAGGACTAATCCAAATTACAAAAACTTTATGGGGGGTTGTAAATATGAATTACAAAACAGTTTAGGATGCAATTATGAGTGTAAATAAACTTGGTGCCTTATTTACAGTTTATCGTCTTTAGCTTCTCAGATACCATTTTTATATGTTGTACAGTGACCTTTCTTAGAAACTTTTTGGAAGGTATTACGTAATTTATATCAAAATTAAAATGTTGAATTTCATTCTGTTTCTCCTATCTTTTACCATTGCCTAACATGCACTGCCTGCCATGTGTCGTTAGGCATAGTACACGAATTTCCCTCATCCAGTGTCAAAGTTTTCAAAAGATAGGGAAGGAAGTGGATGGCAACCTTGCTATGAGAACTTTACCAAAGGAGCCCGGGGTGTAACCATTGCTGCGAGGTGCCTGTTGGGGGGGCAACGAACAGCCCGGCGCTGAGCGGGAGCCGGGCCTGACAAAGCCGGGCGGGGCAAAGCTTGGCTCGGCCCGCCCCGGCCCCGCCCCGGGAGCCCGATCCCGGTTTCAGAGCCCCGGGCGGTGTGCGTGCTCGTCCCAGCGGCCGCGCAGGTGAGTGGGGCGGCAGGGGTGGGGCCAGGGGACCGGCGCGGGCGGGGAGGGGCCCGGCGGCCCCCGGCCCAGGTGTGCGCAGGTGCACGGGGCGGGGAGGGGGACGCCCTCGGCCTCTCGCGGGCCCCGTGGGGTCCTTGGAGCTCCCCCGGCTGGCCCGTGCCCGCCGCGCCGCCCGCCAGGACCCGCGGCGGAGGCCGGAGCCACGCAGGCCTGTGGGGCGCTGCGCGCTAAGAGTGGGGCGCGGGGAGGGCGTCACCCCGAAGGGTTCCATTCAGCGGACGCAGGTGCAGCCAAGCCGCTGTCCTTCCGGGCGCGGGGCGGGCCGCGCCCTCGCTGCCATCCAGGTTCTCCTCACCTGGGAGGTCCCCACAACTTAGTTCCGGCCTCTTCGGGGCGGAATCTCTGAACACGGAGTGGAGTTTCGGTCAGAAACGGGAGGGTGGAACGCTCACCCGGAGTGGGCAGAGCGGGGCACAGCCCGAGAGCTGCGGGACTGGGCGTCCAGAGGCCGACGCGGGGGAGACCCCCGCGAAGATGCTCGGCAGCCCCCGGCGGACGTGTGTGAAATCCCGCAGCGGCTTTCCCGAGCCCTCGGAAGACTAGAAATCTACCCCTTTCTTGGGGCCAGCAAAACTTCAAAGGCAGCTAAAGCGGAGATTCTGTTTGTGTAAAAGTGACCAGACGTGATTCCTGTGACACTTGGCTGGGAGGAACCTTCTACCACCGCTATTGCTTTCCGAGATAAGTGTTCCGGCAGAATGGAGTCAGGGTCCCGGTCTTGAACAAAGCCGAGAGCCACTCTGCCTCAGCGTGCTGGCCTGAGTGGACTCTCGGTGACAGCTTGAAAGACATTTAGGGGTATCCAGATATTTAGGATGTGATAAAATACAGCTGACCATTCCCTTCTAAAATTACATATTTTGCTATTCCACAATTCAAATTTATAATTTCTTGCTTTTTATTTAAAGATTGATCAAGTGGTCTCTTTCAAATAAGCCACTTTTCACAGGTGAGGATGACTTGAATTTATTACAGTGAATCACACTTTTACCAGGGAGTTAAAGTAAGCAGTGGAGTATCCTATAAATGCATATATATCATAGATATTGAGAGATATGTAAAACTTGCTGAAGTTATTTGTTGTGCTTTTGCTTCTACATTTCTTAGGAATGCGTTTCAGAAACTATGGTAGTACTATGCATTTCTCGAACTTTAGAAAAAGATAAAGGTACAAAAATAACCGATTGCTGTAATGTATAGAGCTCCTGCTTTGCATTGGGCACCATGCTGGGACTATCACAAGAATCGCTATAAACTGATAATTGTAGAAGCTGGTTGATTACGTACACAAGGGTATGTAATACTATTCTACCCACTTTTTATGTTTGAAAATTTCTATAACACAAAATTTAAATACTCTCTATCTAGAATGACCTTTTCTCAAGATCTCCATGGTCCATTGGATTATTTCAGTGGCCTCCTAGCCAGTCTCCCTGGATCCATTCTGGAGTGTACTCTCAACCCAGCATCCATCCTGTTAAAATAAGTCAAATCATGTCCCTCCTCTGCTCAGAATCCTCCAATGGCTTCTCATCTCCCAGTAAAAGCCAAAGTCCTATCCAGTGGTTTTTAAGGCCCTGCATGATTCAGTTGACCTCAGTTCTACTACTGACTTTATCGCTCACTTTGCTGCTTCCACAGTAGCCTCCATGCCTTAATATTTCTTGAACATGCCAGGTACTCTTACCTCAGGGCTTTTGCATTCGCTGTTGAGTCTGCCAGGAACACTCTTCTCCCTAATAACTGCCTGCCTTCCTCCTTCACCTTCAGTTCTCCATTCAGATGTCATGTTCTCTATGGGGACTTCCCTGGCCACGCTACTTAAAACTGTAGCACATGGCCAGGTGCGGTGGCTTACGCCTGTAATCCTAGCACTCTGGGAGGCCAAGGCGGGAGGATCGCTCAAGGTCAGGAGTTCAAGACCAGCCTGAGCAAGAG